GTACAACAGGAAATACACGAAAACAAGATGAACTTTAACACTGGAATCGGGAGGACAGCAAGCTAAACCCATGTCTTATTCGCCAGGCAGTTAATCTCCGTAGATAAGAACACAAATTCCTCTGCATGCGTGAACAAATACACACCGCTTCTCTCAAAACACTGGGAAGTCGGGAAACTTGAGCCTAATTAGTATCTACCGGCTATATTCTTAACCCAAGGGAACATCAATTAAAACCCCAAACCTGTGTGAATCATGCTATACGCTATGGGCGCAGGGCACTTACACCACCACGCATCAATTATCACGTATGCACTCAAACTGTGACAAGCATTCTTAGGAAAGCAAACAAGGAAAAACAAACGACAGGTGGTCGCATTGTTCATTATAGCACACACGCACGCACCCACACACTCGACCGAACCTGGCCCCAAATAATTTGTGCGCCTCAGCCCAAGTCTATCTACGCGGAGCCGTATGCAGGATAAGAACGAGGAAGATTGGCAGCCTGTCGTGCTAACCTCTCAGCCCAGACGCTGGCGCAGCACACACCCACCGGCCCGACAGAGCGTCCCAATGATGGAGCTGTCACTATGGAAGTAATATCGTGACGAGCAGTCGTGACATCAACAGTCCAAACACGCAATGACGTCCAGGGGTGCAGCACGCACGTTTCCGCCACTAAACTCCTACAAACTTACATGTATAGCTTTCACATTTCTCCCCATAGACTATATAACGCTTATTTTTGTTTGATAAGTCGTGATATGGTGCCAAAAGTGGTGCCTTACCTTCTTGTTTCCCATAGTCTGTCTTCTGTCCTCCCCCTTCACCACGTCTATTAGTCTGACCGCCTCACAATCTGTACACCGCCGCGGACGTAACATAGTTCAGCACAACTTTAAGAGAATTAGACATCTGTAAAAATATTACAGTGTATTGAAAGCAAGATCGTGATATTACAGAATATTGTTTGGGGATATGAATTCGTGTCATATCCGTTAATTGATAATTCTGAGACTTGTAAGAATGAATGAAGCGGATGGATATAGAATTATGGGTCACGCAAAGCTGACCTCTGGCTTTTGACCCGCAAGGAAGGGGGAAAATTTTGAAAAGGTATGGGAAAAGCATACTGTTTTACGTGATTTTCGCTAATTTCTAGGATGTCAATTGCCCTTATTTTGTGATATTTCCTAGAGAGATGAGGGAGGTATGTTGTGATGTCTGCTGTTTTGGGTTTGGGTCTCAGTAAAGTTTCTTACGTGACATGTGTTTGGGAACTGTTGTGTGTGAGTGTGTCTCTAGCTCTGTGGTGTGTGTGTGCGTGTTTACAATGTATGTCAAGTCAAAGTTATGTGTGTCGTCCCTGTGCGTGAAAAGTATAACTCGAGTCACAAGAACTTGGTACCTCCTTGGTGTGTTGGTAGGAGTTGGTAAATTGATTAGATTAAAATGACTGGATTGTGGGACTCCTCGCAGCTTTCCAAGGTACTGCAGCATGACTTTTTTAATACATGAAACGTTACTAGTAGCTTGTGTTTTGGACATGACATGGGCTTTTTAAAAGTAGATAGCTCTTGAGCTCATGAACGAATGAAGAAATGGTGTAGGTTTGGGCTCCCTAGTGCTACGCTTTTAGTACATTATTTATGTACATGTAGATAGCATATTAGCAAGTGATAATTGACATTGTTAGATGCAGATCATGCAAAAATCAGGAGCTAATTTGTATAATTGGCAGGGACATGTCATAAAACTGCTTCAATTATAGGATTTCCAAACTATAGCAACTGAAAAAGAGAGAAACATAGGTATCAACTATGCAAATGAAAACATCATTGCATAATTAATGAGAGAATACTATAATCATAGTACCATATACTTAGTGGTTAACAACAGGATGTAGTATTTGTAACTTTGGAAGTTACTTAAAGGTGAATATCTTCAGACATGAACCATTATTGCAAATCAGCAAATTAAGGCCTCATTTTCATATTTAAATTAAATGAGAAAATGCTAGAATAATCATCTTCGTTATAAAACTTTCATACTTGTGTAGAGAAGATGATCAACTTATCTAGCTATAATAAAAAGGGCTAAATGTTCTCGCCAACACTGAGTAAATTGTGTCGCCCCCTGTTCAGTGTTGGACGGTTGGCCCGAATGTACACTCCTCCTTTACTCCTCTCACAAAGCGAGACGGAGTGTCCTGGAGATTCTATGTGTATATGTTGAGATACTTCTGAACTAGTAGAACTCGGGCATTGGTGTTCGAGAAACCTACATACGGTGAAAAAGAATGCCCGTATACCAAAAAGCAGTTACTCAAGCAACTGGATATGATTTTGGAGACGATCAGACATTTCGTCAGTGACTGGGAGACCAGAGGAGAAATGCAGGTTTATAAGCACAAACTATTGTCAGTACTACACTCAGTAGGCTACCTCTTGGCAGGTTCAACCTGTGAGTGTCCAATTATTTGGTCTGCTGTACAAAAACAGAATATATCACTGCTCATTTATATAATAGGTCACTGCAGTGTGTCCTTTCATAACAATCTTTTATTTGAAAACTAGAATTGCATTTTCTAATTACCTTATTAGTGATAAGTAAGGACTGAGTGTACCAGTATGTTACTATTTTTAGGTTTCTGATGTTTTTTAGGCAATTCTTCTATATCTGTCTCTCTTCATCTATTTTCTCAGCCTGCATAACTGCTCTAACAAAAGCCCATTAGTAGACATCAAAGAACCTGGCTTTCTATGAAATTCTACCCTTCATATAACATTAGTCTGCAAGGGCCAGTCAATATGTCCCTGGCCAACTAACCTCTGCGGGAAACTGTACATGTATTTGTAGGATCTACCGGTAAGTAACATGTATCCCTCCCCAAGAGATGTCCTATATTCAGCCAATTTAGCAATTTTGGTCAGTATTCTAATATCACTGATTTTGGTTGATCCTGTACATGTTTCTGATTATGGTACTAAATTCTGATGATTGATAAGCAATCCTGTAGGTATTTTGTCGGTCTTACAATAAGCAATATAGGCATAAATTATAGTAAAACACCAGACAGAGCTAATGTTATATATGGGGTATTTACCATTCAAAATTTTGACTATTGGAATGAGACGTAAAATTGGAATTGAAAATATATCACTATTCATGGTAGAAATAATAAGAAAATAGTATACATGTACCATAACCATTCATGATATGATTGAAATGCCAAAGACAGCTGCTTCTTGGTACGGCATTAGTGCGTGGGCATCCTGCCATAGGGTTACTGTTTTGTTCCTGTTTTGTTGGCAACCATAATAACAAGTATCCTGCCAGCCTACTTATCTGTCACTTCACTCGGAAACTTAATCATCATCACTTGGTGACTGTATTGGATTGATATTTAGATTTAATTGCAAGGAAGGATGCTCAATTTCCTTTAGTAGTCAACTCGTGTACTAATTAGGTCAGGATAATAACTGACAGAAAATTCACATGTATAGGTACTAACTTCAATGTTACATGTATTAATACACTTACAATAAAATGTTTTGTCCTAGAACATAAGCTGAAACCAGTTACTTAGAATTTAGCATTATTTAAAATCAATCCCACACTATATGTATGTGTATATAGTACTAGTATATGTACTATGTAGTATACATTCCAGTCCTGCTAATTGTAGTGCCAGTACCATTTTTTTCTTTGGCCTGTAGCTTCCATATGATGAGAGTTACTTTCATCTTCAGTGTGACTGTCTCTTAATGTCCTCTGATGTTCATCTGGGAGAAGACATTATGTGACATCCCTAGAGGTAAACCATGTGTGCAGGCAAGGCAATAAATAGATGACCTTCAGTGTTTCTTAATGCTCTCTGATGTCCAACTGGGAGATGTTACATGTATGTATGTGACAATCCCTTAGTAGTAAAACACATGCCAGTGATGGCTTTTACCATCGCACCTGTGCCTCACTCTGACTAGCTCATGCATGCTTTTTTTGTTTCGTTTTGCCCAGGCAGGACAATCTTGACATATTTCATTTTCTTGTACTGCACCTGCCAGTCATTACGTGGTGTTAGGACCAATCAAAAGTGTTATGATGATAACATGTAGAAAGAAATTAGAGCCCTGACAAAGCTCTGCTGAATGTCTTGTGAATATGCCTAAATTACTTAATTACCAGATATTATAGTCAAATAATGGTAATTTCAGTTGAAGGCCTAATTTTTTGTCTCTTTGATTTAATAGATCAAGGTTTACGAAGTAAAAACCCAGTATTAAATGATTGAAAAATGAGGGAGTTGGAAACTTATTAACCGTTTTGAAGAATTATATAAAACATCTAAATTTAGACTGTGACCTGTGACTGTGAGGAAAATGTGCTATACCTATGCTATACCACAATATGGATACCATTTTGATTGCTAATTGTTGGAGAACTGGCACATGGGTGCAGGCAGGGCTATGAACTGGTGCCATTAACTCTATGGCAGGTGACCTACAAAGTGTCTCTTTACTGAGAAGAAAAGATTATAGAAGATTAGGTTTTTAAGCTTAGCAATTTCTAGACACAATACTGTAAACCTCAAAATATTTCTGGCGGTTTCATAATTGTGGTGAGTTCTCCACTGGAAATTCAAGATGCTTGGAACTTGCATTTTACTGTATTACAGTATTGTTTCAACCACAGACTTAAAACACATGGCAAAAACCTCCCTTCACCATTAACCACAAAATTGAGTCCCCGCGAAAATAAATGAATTTCTAACCACAACTGGTATAGTACATTGACCTCCATTATACAACCTGCAACAGTGGATTAGATTTATGTTGGGCTCAGCCTGTGTTACATGAATAGTTGATATATACAGAAGGTTATTTGAATGTCAGTTGTTACATGACTGAGGCGTGAACTGATTTATCTTGTCTGTAATGGATATGATTAGCACTCTGGCCCATCTCACCTGTTTGATGACCATTTTCAGAAAATGTTGGCATACAAAGATAGGCACTAGGAGAATAGAGACTGTGATGAAAGCAGCACATTGGCTCCCATGGTCAAAATGTAAGAAACCTTATGTAATACAAACTAAATCAAGCACCTGGATAGATTCTCTGAAGAGTCAGACATTTCAGATAGCATCTACTATCTTGACGTCAGTAACTCGGAAATGTTCGTAATGTTCTACCTGGATGTCTGACCATCATCGATGTAGGAAACCTTATTTGTGTAAGAAGAATTCCCATCCTACTGCATGACCTATCAACCTGATGAAGCAATTCCCAGAAAGATAGGCACTGATCTTGACAGGCACAGCTGTCAGAACATAATAGGAGCAGGATTACCTGAAATAAAGCAGTCATCATTTATTGAGGTGGAACATGAAGATGCTTTTTTCAAGTACATGTGGCTAGCTCTGGTAGTACTAGTAGTGCAATGCAAAATAGTGAAGAATGTTGAGGGAATGTGTGTACCATTATTTGCTTTTCTTGCAATTGAGCTTGAGGATTAGAAAAAAGGAAATTGGCCTATCAAACAATTGGTTTCTTCCTTAAAACAAAATTGATATAGTCTTCATTTGAGGAACTCATTTTTTACCATGTACCGTGATCATTTTTTTTTGTTTCCCCACAGATCTTGATGAGGTTGTGAGAGAGAGTCCTGCAGCATGCCGACGGTCATCTTGCTGGACCTGTCCCTGTCCATGACTCGACCCATCGTGTCTGGAGACAATGACTTCCAGCGGAAACACCTGGCCATCCAGGGGGTCAGCACCCTGCTGGACTACCTGGCAGCACACAACCGGCTGGAGTTCACGGCCCTGGTGGCCTTCTCCTCCCTCTGGGAGCTGGTCGTGCCGTTCACCAGGGACTACAAGGAGCTTAAGGAGGGGCTGAACAGGATGGACGACTACGACAAGACTTGTATCGAGACAGGACTGGCAGGTGTCAGTCAAATAGTGATGGACGAGTGGGGAGTGGGCCTGCCCTGTCAGGTGAGCACAACAATGCCTCATGAGTGCACCATCTGTAAAGTCCTTTCTAAATAATGCACACTGTCCCAGTCAAGGCCATTAATGACGTCATCTTATCGCTAAAGATTATGTATAAGTCATGTGCAGTAGTAAAAGCCTCTGAATCAGCAAGATGGACCAAAGGAGCTGTTCTCTATCTATAGGAAAATGTGCTCTGAAAGTACGATCATTATGGATGCATCATATATATACCATGTACTATGAACAATATATTCTTGTCAAAATGCTATCTTTCATCTCAAGATACTAGCATGGAGCTTATTGATAACAGGTGTACAACACATCTCCTTCTACATGTAGCTCGTCCTTCACCTTTGAAATCCAAGCCCCAATCAATACCAAGCAGTCAGTATACCAGTACCAAGTCTCCAGTCGTCCTTTTTTCCTTTTAGGAGACGACCTCACGGCGACAAATGGTATTGTATGTCAGCTGATTGAAACAGTATTCCCCATTGTTAAGAGCGCACGAAGGTTGTGCTTTAGAAATCATTACTTATTCATTGATGATCATTTGTCTGCACACAAGGCTTTTGTGTAAGGCAGCCTCAGGGAATAGAACTTTTATTCCTCATCAATTTTAAAGATACAAGATTTTTTCAGTCCTTGAGTATTGTAATCCCTTTGTGACTTTCCCTCAGAGTTGAAAGAATTAAAGCCAAGTGTTTGATATGTATGTTTGTCTGAGCTTAAAAATCCAACTTAAACTTTACAGGTGTATTACTATTATTGCACTAGAACTTCTCATAGGTAACAATATTTTGCAGCTACAATCTACCCTGATGGAATCATGCATATTATTATAGCATAATCCATTGTCTGTCTTGAAGGTGGCAGATATCTGTAAGCTAGTTCTTGTTACTAGCAGTCAAACTGTTAATTTTTGGAACACAAATGCATGAGGGGGCCGGGTGAAGTCTTATCATTTGAGTTGTTGAGAAAGAAGTTGCTCCATGATCCAAACAGGTTCTTAGCCTGGTTGCCATCTTCAGTAGTTTCTGCTGGCTCCTAATGTCCCTGGCCACAATGTTAGGAGGATGGCACCAGGCTAACAGGTTCCTCCCCTCCTCTGTGTTCCCCAGGTTGTCCTGGTGACTGATGGGAGTCCAGGGGTAGGGAAGGGGTCGCTGAAGGAGTCCTTGGAGAGATTCTACAGCTCCCAGCAGCACCATGATGACCTGCCTACAGAGGGGGAGGAGTTCCCACTCCCCTTCCCCTTCCCATCCAAACTTCACCTGGTGTGCCTGGCCACCCCCCCTGAGGTGCAGGGGGTGTTGGGGCAGTTACAGAGGCTGGTGGACATCAATGGGGGTGCAGGGGGGGTATACCTGCCAGAGGGGGAACTCAACATGACAACCTGTCAAGCTCTTTTCAGGTAAGTAAAGTAGCTGATAGTGCACGTCTTCCACCCTGCTAGTTATAAGTACAATAAGGTGTCATTGGCATTACATACTATAGCCTGATTAAAATTATGCATTTTATCAGCCCGTCCAACCAAGGAGGTTTAAATTCCTTGGTCCAACTAAGCAGGACCCTAGTAGATGCCCTTCAGCCCCTTACAGTGAGAAATTGTATAACACAGCATGCAGGATTAGGAGTTTTGTAGTTGTGGAGTTCTCAGAGTTCTCACAGTAGAGAACTAAAAAAAGCCCCTCAATGCCATAACAGCATTTAAATGAACCGAAACTTTGTTGGATATGTCTGAAGCATCAGACAAAGGATTAGTATGGTATGCAGTTGTGGAATCGTTTGTGTGGGAGAAGATTTCTACTGTGACTTGTAGCCCACTTTAGAGGAAAATGAATGCATAAAATTACCCCCAAGCAGTGACAGGATTCTATTATTATCTTATACATGTATTATCCATACATTAGCTGTTTCTATCCTAGAAAAATACTTTAACCATTCCAATTATTAGGAAACTGTCTCTCTGTGTTTATGTTGGCTTAAAGACCCTGTGAGAACTGCACAACTACATAACTCCTAATCCTGCTCTTTATCTTGGCTGCTGGTGCTGAGGAACAAAGGGGTACCAGTGATTACAGTGTGCAATGAGGGGATCTTACAGATTATGTTTCTCTTCAAATTGAGAAGGAAGAGCGGACAGGAATGTCTGGGGAATGGGATCTTTACTAAAATGGTGAAATCTGCCCCTAACTACTGCAAGATAAGGAAAGAGACAGAAAAAGGGTGTGCTGATGAATTAGCCATATTCTTAACTCATTACTGACCACCTGTGGTCTAGACAGTAGAAGATTAGATCAAATACGTCATTACCACTTATATAACCATATAACAATAGTGCATCGTCCTTTCTCAAGGTATTATCATTATAATGGATGACGCATGTATGAATTGTATAAATGATTAATTAAGTCTCTATTTTTATCAAAGAAAATTTTGTGTCATCTTTAATCTATTGTAACAGGATGATCATTCCTTTGGAAAATGGATAACAAACAAAATTTTATGTGGCGATGACCTACTTGTACCAAGGAGGTTTAAAATCTTTTATTTAACCTTCTTGCTTGTACATTTGATCTTTTTTTCATTAAAAAGATATGATTTGTACGGATTTATTTCAGACAACCAAGAAATTTAATTGTTGTGGTGTCAGCAACTTCTTCAGTTCCTGCAAGGCCAAACACTGGCGTGTGGCTTTTTTATTTATTCAAGGACATGATATCCAATATCCCATGCTTTTGTGTCCGGACCTTTTCATGTTCATTTAATTCATTGAATGGTGTACCCATAGGGCTTTGGTCCTTCCGGTCTAATATTGAAATTCTTTGCATAAACTATGCACATGTACTGCCATGTGCCAGCACACATACATGTACATTCATGTACATAGTATGTACATGTACATGTACATGTACATGTACATGTACATGTACATGTATTACATGTATATGACTCGGCACATTTTGTGCATCTGAGACACCTAATGACGCTGTTATTGATCTGAATTCTAGGACTGACATAGGGCCACGACATAGGACTGACAGTTATGAATACACCGTACCTAGCAACCTTGGCTGGATAGGAGCTATTAAAATTATTGTATGATTTGCATATTAACAGGTGTAGTCATTTTAGGGGAGACATCTTTAAGTTGAATGATGAAATATATATAAACAAGCACTATTGTGTACATGGAAGAACACTCAAATATAATAAACACAGAAGGACTCATGATGTAACTTATGTTTGAATATCTAGTAAGACAATTTTAAGAAGAGGCAAAATCATCAATTTACAATTAATGATTTTGCCTCTTATTAAAGGATTCATGCAGTGCTGTAGTAAAAAGACATAAAAAGCAATGGTGGCCAGCTTGGTGCCTTTTGGGCACAGATAGTTGCTTATCTCTGCCAAGGGTAACCTTCTCGTGACAGGAAGGCTCTCTAAATACTTTTACCTCTGAAATATACAATAAGTACTAAGGTTTCCAGAGCCATCTATGTCATAATTCTAGCTTCAAATTTGTTGCATTTCAGAACCCTCCTGATTTGTAAAGCTTATGCATGAACAGCACGATTTGGCAGCAATCTGATGCCACACTAGTCTGCCCCCTGCTCCAGGCCGGCAGATTATTCTTCTTTATATTTGACCCTCTCCGACTAATGGAAGGAGATGTATAAGTAGGCCTGAGACCAGGATGAAGTCTTGGATTTACCTGACGTCATCATGTAACCCTGTAGTTGGCAAAGTGTAGAGGATCTAGTGGGTTGTTAAGTACACTACAATCTGCAGAGTCAGGATTGGTTGTAGAAAAAATGCAGAATTGGAAATTCTAGTAAGTTAAAAAAAATGGTATAGGTATGCTGCACAGGTAAAGACAAAGAAGAAGTAAACTCAGTATCTCTCTGCAAAGTGTGGTAATGCATCTACATGTAATAGTTTAGGACTTTTACATTACAGCATACATGTATTTAACATTGCTGGTACATAAATTGTATCATGGTAAGTGTTCATTTCATGAAAATTACAGAATAGTGATCAAGACAGGTACTTGATTGTTACTCTTTGCCTACATGTACACTACAGCAAACTAGCTGAGACCCAGTTCCCGTCCGTGACATGGACGTTGAAGTGCGGCCACATGAGCTCGGAGGTCCAGGCCGTGCCTGTTGTGGAGACCTTCAAGAAAACGTATGACTCCGGTCCCGTGGTGCGAGAACCATCGCAGGAGATGGAGATTCTTGGGTTCTTGGACTCTAAGGACATCGCCAGTCCTGCAGTGATATCCAGGCACCTTGTTCTGCCAAAGCCTACAAAAACAGGTATATGTGCCATAATGTAGCCCTCGTGTGCTGGGTAGCGATATACCCTCAGAAGATGCATCTTTATTCATACAATATTACTAAGCCCACTGAATATGGAGACTATTCCATATCAGGCTGGAGCTATTAGCCCATTGCTGTGTGTTACAAAACAGTATGATTGGTCCATCAAAAATTTACATCAAACTGGCATTTTGTCATCACTCTAGTATGATGCAGTTATATTTCAAATTGACATAATGACAGTCTCTACCCCAGGCATCATCTAAAGACTACCTCCTATGCCTCAGGTTTGGGATGCTACAATTACTATTCATCAGTGTCAGATGAAAGGAGAGAAGATTAGCATGAGATGGGTTTGGTTAATGTGTTGAATGCATTAACGTTATATAAGCTGGGAAATCTCCAGTGGAATGGATGGGAGACAGCTACATGGTAATCATAGGATTACTCTCCTTCATGCAGTTTGGAGTAGAGGTCAGCACTTAGCAGTAATCAGCGTAGTACGTAAAATTCTATTGTTGTTCTATACAGTCCTCAGTATGCAGCCACCCTCATGTCTTCCTCTTCATTGTACAGACAGTTGCTTTTCCATTTGTAGTTAAGAGCACTCTAAATACTTGAAGCATGTCTTATTCACCTTTTTTACCTTCGCCAAGAAGGTTATGTTTTCAGTAGCGTTTGTCTGTGTGTGTGTGTGTGTGTGTGTGTGTGTGTGTTGTATTGTGTGTGTGTGTGTTTGATTGTGTGTGTGTGTGTGGTTTAGCAAGATAACTCGAGAAGCAGTGGATGGATTGGAATGAAACTTGGTAGGTGGGTAGGACTTCATGAGACCTAGAAATGATTAGATTTTGGGCCCCCTGGCGGCTTTCCTAGGTACTGCAGCTGAACTTCCGGTTTTGATATCTCATGTTCTGGACATGCTAGGGTCACGAATTTTGGTTGGTAGATAGCTCTTGGGATAGGGAAGAACTGACATGAGTTTGGGTCCCCTAGCGCCTTGTTCTGGAACTGCAGGAGCATTTGTTGAAAAAAATTTGAAGGACGATAACTCAAGAACCGGTTGACGTATTGTCATGATTTTTGGTATGTAGGTAGTTGAAGTGATGCTTGACATAATCAGATGGCAATTATGCAAATCAGGAGCTAATTTGCATAATTAATGAGGAAATTCTATAAATCTGATTTGTTCGATAATAGAACTATGAAACAGTTGTGACATCTACTTGAGAACGAGAAAAACATCTGAGGATATAGATTATGTAAATGAGGACCTAATTTGCATAATTAATGGCAAATTCTTATAATTCCATAGTTGTAACTGCTGCACCCCGAATTTCATACTTGCCACATTTGGAAGTTAAGTGAAGGTGAACATTAATAAACATAATTTATTCAAATCATGACCTCATTTGCATAATTTATGAGGAAGTGCTATAATAGCCTTTTTGTTATGAGAAGGCTGTCATTGGGTGGAGAATATAATCAACTGATATAATCCATGCAAATGAGGCTCTTATTTACAAAATCAATTATTAAAATTGTAGAATTCGTCACCCGCAAGGGTTAACATCTTTTGGCGAAGGTATGAGATCGTGGAACTCTTGTTTGCTTTGTATGTTTAAGAAGTTGTCTCTCTGTAGGCTGAATTGGGGGCTAATTTTACCTTTCTACATCCGAGTCTCAACTACTGTTTACCAGCAAAATTTGATTTTGTTAACCATTTAGTCCATTTCAACTATTGAAGAATGAAGGTGTACACAGATGCAATTCTGTGCCTCTGTAATGTCCATGTCATGTACAGTCCCACATTACACATGTTCTCACAGAGAAAGACGTGTCAGAAGGAGGGGGCGGAGCTTCAGCCGAGGGAGATGGGGATACTGCAGAGCATGATGGGAAGGCTCCATCTTTCTGTGTCCTCCTTCATGGCAGTTTGAAAGTGGAGAGTATGGTTGCCCTTGTCCAACTTGGGTAAGCTGTTTGAAATCTATTTTTGTAGGACTTGTGATATTTATTTGGCAAACATACTGCAGCTGTACTTGATTGGTAATATAGCGTTACCTTTAGGGTGATTAATATGTGGTCACTACACTTTGGGCAGCTCAACCTCAGATTTTATGCTCTTTCTAATATTATAAGGAGATAAAGTAGCATGTCAAGCTGAGAAAACTGTTAAAAGGGCTCTTGTTGACAAAAGTCATATTTCAAGCAAAAGTCTCATAATGAAAATATAGTTATGTAGTTACACCTCTTAATCAGTCATGTACCAATCACACAAAGTCTATGGCATAAATTGAATCTGTTGTCTGAAAAAATCAGAGATTTGTGTTCCAATAAATAACCATATGTCAACATTCTTGGTTTGAAAAATGTAGGAAAAGAAGTCACCCATCCTCAAACCTTGCATTTTTTGTTATGAAACTGATTTACTTACAATTTTCCCCTCCCTGTCCTCCCGATGTCCTGCTCAGTGAGAGCTGGTACGGGTTCCTGTACTCCTGGGCAGACAGTAAGAAGAAGTCCAACCTGATGCTGTCTGTGCTGGAGCCGGGGGAAGATGCCGTGTCGTGGCTGGGGAAGATCAGTCAGCTCGGCCCGGTGGCCTCCAGCCCACACAATCCTTATGGGGAAGACGACACCACGAGTCCCTATCCTGTACGCCATGCAGACAAGCGCAGCTACGCACAGAACACCACCGTTTGGATCAAACCCAGTGGGCTACAGGTAACTACAGTAACATGCATTGTTTCCACTTTTGCTTTAATGAATATGATGCAATCATTATCATTGTTGCCGCTCCCATCTGTCAATGATGCAGGCCACCACTGCTTTGATGCAATAGGAGGAAAAATGTTGAAGTTTTTCATTTTACTTTGTACTTTGGACATGAGACTGAGATGGGACATCAAATACGCTTAGGCCACACCAATTTAATTTCTTGGTTAACGGATTCGCCCGCTTCATTTTTTTCTGATTTGCAAATAAAAATAAAAATTCAGAATCAACTGCAGAATGCTCATATTTTGTCCTGAACAGTTGAAAACAGTCCTTTTCATACTAGTTGTTACAGTTATTCCATCTTTCAATGCAATGGTATCATTAAAAGTTCAAAATTCATTGTTTAAATTTTGAACCAGCCTGGTGTTTTGACTTCATGGCTCCTATCATACCAATTTGGGCCATAATAGGATGCCTAGGCCTTTTTTTATTTTCATTTTTTTTTCGCCCGCCCGCTCCATTATTTTTCTAGACAAATCCGTTAACCAAGAAATCAAATTGGTATGGCCTTACGGCAACTTTTCCCTTGCTGTCATTTCAGACCGATGTGCAGAAAATATTAAGGAATGCAAGAAAACTTCCTGACAAGCAGCAGACTTTCTATAAGGTATCAGCAGCCTTAGTTTTAAAGTTTATAATGTGGACACCAGATGTAGAAATTGAGTATAACATATTTTGTTGAAGCTCATCAAATGTTAAAACATGTTGCAATATGTTTTTCACTTTCTTAAGAAGGCCAAGCATCAGATGAATTCTTTTGGGGGGTATACTAGTAGCAAATGATATGGTTTCTTCTGGCCCACAATTGACTGTCAGTTGCACAATATTTGCTGCATGTTTGATGGTAAAAATTAGACCTACTAGTAATAGATTTTGAAAAGAACAGTTTATAAATGACCTTTGATGTTTATGCTAAAGCCCATAAATTTATACCCATCATTATAACCACCTCCATCCCATACCATACCCAGATATAGACAACTGTAATATTATGCTTTCTCATGTTTTTTTTAATAGGAACTAAACAGGTTAAGAAAAGCTGCCTTGTCGTTTGGGTTTGTGGACCTGTTGGAAGGCATGTCGGCCATGTTGGAGAGGGAGTGCACCCTACTGCCTGGAACAGCCCACCCAGATGCAGCTCTGCAGCTGACACATGCAGCCAAGGAGCTGAGACTGGCCATTAACAAGGATTATGATGACAACATTGCACCTCTGCAGACACATTTCAGTAAATCAGACAATGACTGACAGGTCTCAGTCTGTTGTACTGTTACTTTTGATAGTCATAGCTTTAGGTCTTGCATTTGTACATTCCATGTGATTTAGTCACAAGGTCTTAATTTTCCCTTGATGTTTGAATCCCCAGTTTAGATACATTTGTAAGCACCTGTGTTTTTAAGTTACTTGCAACAACAAACAACAGTTTGCAGTAAGCCCGCATGCCAGTTTGGTAAGAGTACATGCTTCTTATCCTTACACTGATATACATTGGTCAAAAACTTGGTTGGGACCTCTACACAGGTTATTACGCCTCCTACCAAAACATGTTAGTACTGCATGGCATGGACCTCAGCCTCCTATCAGAGTATACTGAGCAGATCACATACTTGTAGTACCTCTGTCAAATGAACAAGTAAATATTGGGAAAGCAATCAGTAACAAGTGGCTGTCAGTTGCATGTAGTTGAGAAAATAAAGCAACATTAACAGCTGCTACCCAAGCTGCACATACAACTTACAAGTACATGTATTATAGATGTCTATAGATGATGTGATAGCTTGTGTCTCTTTTGTTTGAAATGCTCCTTTGAAATTTTCTCTTTCAATGGGTTAGACTTTCTAAATGTTTCCCTAAGGTTAGACTTTCTAAATGTTTCCCTAAGGGAGCAGGCCCCCTGAACACCCCTAAAATATGATTGTCGTCCACAGTCAGCTCTACTTCATACATCTATGGAATATAATAAAGACAACATGTTTGAGTACAACATTTAAATGTAGGTGTATATATAGCATTTATTGACTTCAAACCAAGGTAAAGGTACATGTACATGAATAGTCCATCCATTGCTCTCATCTTCAAAACTTCCCACCTGCTGAAACAATGTTACCTTGGAGACGTCTTATTCCACACCTACATGTATGTCTCCAGAGAGGAACTGTATTCTGTAAAGTGGTTCACAATCGCTGATCCATGTTTTTTTCCTGCCTTCCATGTTGGCAATAGTAGTTACAGTATTAGGTACTGGTGGCAGAATGCATGGCAGTTTTGCAAATGCTTTGAGCAAGGACTTGGGGACTTTTGTTGTTGCATTTATATTTGCCACTTTGCACTGAATTATTATTTCTCAACAGTGCAATGTGCACTGGGATCCATTAAGACTGAGAATGAACTGTCTGCTTTTGCATGTCCCTATCTATAGGTCTGAACTGACCCTGTATTTTGAAATTAAACTGATACAGTATAGTTGAAAGCCATCAAGATCTCACAACATAGGGTCATGTTGTCACATTACTATATGGTAAATTGGCAGTACAAAATTACCAAGCAATGATGTATAATTCAAACAGTCCCAATTACAATGATCAATCCTATCTAAAGTATTTGTTTGATATCTTGAACATACATAGCTTGTTCACAGAACACAAGTGGAAGACGAAAAGCAAGATGAATTCTCACATTAAGACTCTTCAAGACAGATTGAGGACAGACACAGAAATGTTACTCTCTGTGTGTGTATGTGTGTGCACATGTGTTTCAAAATTCAATCAACAGTTCCACACATTTTGACATTCAGAATCTGATGACATACAAAGAATGTGCTAATATGGTGAAGGAGCACAATATTTACAAAAAGAATGTGTCATCACTACACAGTTGTTACAGCATCTGTCTACAACTAATGCAGCTTATATCTCAAGGCAGTCTGTCCTAAATTTCTCACTAAGACTTCCATATTAAAGCCTGACGTCAAACTTAGATTTTAACCTTTGAAGGCAGCCAATATACTATTGGGCTGAAGTGAAGGCCTTAATTTGCTTAGAATGAAAGGCCTGTCCTCCACTTCTATAAAGAAAATAAAAAACTACTTTTCACAATGCTTCCCTTGGCAATGGACTCATCTCAATTTTCAAATATACAACTCTGAAGAACCAGTTTCATAGTGACACAGGACTCTATCAATGCGCCTTCTAGTAAAATTGAAACAAAGTTGCCTTTCAGACTTCATTGCAAAGTTTTTACATGTTCAACTTGGGTAGAATTTAGATTTAAGGGTCTAGGACGCCCTATGCTACCTAGTTTCCAGTATCAACAATAATTGTGCACTACAACAACAAGCATAGGACTGATTGTCCTTCAGACTCATATCTAGAAAAAAACAAGCACAGATATTCCTTGCGTTGTTCTTACAAAGCATGCCTGTTAGTTACTGGCATGGCAAAGTGACAGCCCTTCAACTTAGCACATCTTTCTGAGAAGAATGGCCCTCTTTTTTTTTAGAAACTTTAAGTTCAAGAAACATGGCTCAAAATTTGATCAGAGTGAACATTCATTTTCCTTGAAAACTTAAGCTTTCCATCCAAGATATCTATGTTAAATGTGAATTGGTGTACAGATACATCATATTATGAAATAAGTACTAGTGAAGCTAGACATTTGAAATACTGCTCATATGGCAACATCTTCATCTCTTTCATGTGAAGATGCTGCCATACAAAATAGATGATATACATTAAACTGTAATTCCAATGTAGCACAAGGGTATGTAATGGATACACTTAATAGTTTAAAGTTGAGAAAATGGGACAAAACGACTGACAGAGACCAGCAGTTTTTGAGGACATTTGGGGTGGCAGAGTGGAATGCAATACAAGACTTACAACTCATCCAACATTGAAAGTTGAAGAAAAACATACCAGATACAACATGCAACTTCAATGTTGTGAATCCAGTAAGTATCCCTAGAATTGGTGACTATTTGTTTCAAATACTACTAGTTACTAGAGCAAAGCATGACTGCACATGTTATGTGACCATTCAAAACAGTTTAAAAGGAACTGAAATTTTTGCATAGAAAATAACTGGTGACAGTGGAAGAGACAGACATGGAAAACAAAGATGTACCAAAACTCAGGGCAAGTCTGGCAGTATCTTTAAGACAACAAACAGTGCTTAAAGTCTCACACATGAAGAAGCAAGGCGCTGCGTTGTTTATAAGTCCTGCTTAAAGCCAAGGCAGTTTTCAATATTCATCGTCTTGACCAAGGTCATCAATACCATCATCATCAGGTGCTGCAAAGCCATCCTGTATAAAACACAATTTGTCACAAAATGAAGCATATGTACAAACTCCATGTTCAGCCACACATCAAGGAACGAAAGGCTTACAAACTCTACTGCTTTAACATTTGTACACTCCCATTATCACTTTGTACCAAATATATCTTAGATCTGTCTTCTTGATGTCATAAAATTACTGTTTTAGTGAAAAATAACTCTAGGTAGACAATGATACTCTAGATACTGCAATGATACGTCATGACATTATATACTAGCAGTAGGATTCATTCCTCAAGCCAGTGGTCGAAATACTTTTTTTCAGTACTCTGCAATATTGCAGAAGAGTCAAAATTTTGTTCTGCAATTTGGAAATACTTTCTGCAAATACACAAGCCTCCATATTACAACCTTTCTGAAAATACACAAGCCTCCATACTACAACCTTCTCAAAACAGTAATTCCTTTTTACATCATATATAGCTTTGTAAATCTGTACAGTAGCATTACTAGACTGCAGGAGAATTTCAGGTTTATAAGCATGAACTATGGATTGATATGAAAATTAGTGAAGACAATTTTTTGGAAGTCCAAAAGGAAACAAAAGTTAGACAAGTCAAGACAAGGATGATGCAAATTAGTCAAGAAGCTCCTGTTGTTTCAGAACAGTCTGTCCCTGGGGCCTGGAAGTTTTAGTTTGCTAAATTGAAAGCTAATGAATCTGGAGCCTATTTTCCTTCTGCAAAATTGCAGATTGTATAATTTTTTTCTTCTGCAATCTTGAAAATCTATCTGCAGATTGCAGACTGCAGGCAGGTATTTCGAACACTGCTCAAGCTAACCGTCATCTTGCACACGCAGTCATCCCCCAGTAAGACCTCTGGAGCCACATAGTTCCCGTTTAGAACTTTTATTCTGCCTTTCACACCATGACATAGTTTTGTATGCCTCGCCCTTCTTACCTCTGTTGCGTACAGCTCGTCCATGATTAGGCCAAGGGCGGGGTGGTTGTCTCCCTCGTTCTCCTGACAGAGGACCTCGATCTTGCGCAGCTTGCCAAAGTAGAAATCCCTCTCCTTCTCCAGCCCTTCCACTGTCATCCTGATCTCCATCAGCTGAGGAATCAGACACATTGTACAGGGATTAACACAATTAAACAGTGCAGTTCCAGCAATGGTAACTTTGCTTATGTCAGCAATACGACCTGTAGTCTACATTCTTTTCAATTCTCAATTTTCCACTTAAAATTTCCTCATAATATTATGACATGCACCTTTAATAGACTAGTAGTTGTACACTAGTACTGAATGCCATACCTGTTGATTCAACTCTGCAATTTCTTGAGCCTGTGCTCTGTCCCCTCCATCCATTCTGTGCTGTAGGGGGGATTTATGCATTGCTGGCCGAGGTGCTGGCTTGGTGCGAGGTGCTACAGGAGAAAGGGCCATGTTAAGAGATAGTTTATAGACATAACGTTACATGTATATGGGTATGCCAGCATTTCTGTTCCTTATCCTTCAGAGTTACCAAAAGTCAAAGATCTTTTCTTTGTAACAGGAAACAAAGATAAATTCAGCAGTGTATGACAGATTTTGCAACTTGCAAGGCAACATTTACAAAAGGATACAAGATGTGACAAAAAGACAGACAAAACAAGACAGGTGTGACAACAAAACTAGAGATTTAGTGACAACAAGCTGACTCTATTACTGAATGATAATGGATTGATTTATCATAAATCTTTATTTTTGAGGCATCTAGCTGACCAATCGCAGTCCAGGTCACCTTCATGGAAAAAAAACAAACCATCAGACTCTTCACTTTCACATGTACAATGTACCTTCACTGGTGTTCATAAAATGAAGCCAACTCACACAAAAACTGTGACTTGGACTGGCTTTGTTTCCATGAGAAAGCATCTTGTTTTGTTCAGATTGTGCCAAATTCAATGAGTTCGGCTGAGATTTTGTGGCAGTGATGAGTGGTGTTCTTTCTGTCAGAATATCCTGCATTCCAAAGATATCTAGCAATGTCCATGGACAACATGGATATTTGCTACAATAGTGAGCCATTTGCACCTGAGAGGCAGAAGAGAATACACCTGGATACTCACCTGCTTGTACATACGGTCTTCTTCCTTCAGGAGTAGCAGAGGAGAGTTTGAGAAAGGCTAGTTTGAACGTGCTGAGTGATAGTTACCTACGTAGTACCTGTTGTATTCTTACCTAGTGTTATCTAGTCTCATGAAGAGAGAGAAAAGCTTTATGTAAGCAGTATGTTAATGTACTTTTGTGTGCAACAGATAAACACCACCAAACAGTCACAATAAAAATGTCACCAAATGATCGAAGAAGAATCAGCAAGTTTTTATCTGATAAAGTCACATTCACCTGGTAACAGTTTAACCTAGATTTCTGTGGTCGGAAGCTCTGGCAAAATAATGGCACCACAGAAGATGTTAAATGAAATTACAGTTGAGTATTTGAGCAAATCAAAGACATTCAGATTGGAGCTGAAAGGACTAACTTCATGATGAAGTGTTGCAGGTAGAATTTGCTGAATCTACTTGAGTTTAAAAACAGATTCAAACACAACAGGAAGAACACAAGACAGACGAATAATGACAGAAAGTCTCCATTGTTCCCTAAGAGATGGGCAAAGGTTGAAAAAGGGGAAATCATCTATTTCAAAAGAGAATCAAAAGATGAGTTGATTCGGTGGGAGTTTTTTTTGGTGATGTCCGTACAGTGGGGGCCGATGATGATTGGTGCCCATTGAGGGATCACTGGATGGCTCCCTCCCCCTTACAGAGCTCAAGATCAACAGTACACTACACGTACACGTACACATACACCGGATATGGTTAGTAATGGTCTACACGTGCACGTAGTGTATGTGGAGATTGTGTTACTTTTGCTGCATCTTGTTTCCTCCTCTTTTCTTCCAAACCATTTTCAAATCCCCCATTTGGCTTTGCTCCATACCAGTCTCAATTTCTTGTCAGTCTGCAGTTACACCATTTCCTCCTCCCTTTAAAGTTTAATGACTGTATAAAAAAAAATACGGACACACAAGCAAACAGACGAACACATTAAAAAAAACCCTCCATACCAGACCCTGTGACCTTGAGCTCTGTGCCCCCCACAGGACATCCCAGATTTCCCACCTGCTGCAGCCAAGCGAGACTGCCCACCTGCTCCGCCCACCGGTTTCCTGGCAGGCTTGCTGACTCTGGCACCGGGGTTGTCCTTTCCTACCACCTCCGCTCCTTCTCTGGCGTAGATGGGGTCGTAGTCCTTCCCTCCGTAGTTGGCATCAAAGAACTTCTTGAACCACTGCACAAACTCAAAGTTGTCCTGGAATCTCCCCTTCACAAGTTTGTCCACTGGAATAATCTTGCCAGGAAAAAGAAGCAATACATTCAATTTTATTTCATGGTAGTAATATATTTTCAGCCCTACAAGAACAGCACTTTTACGACATCTTAAAAGTTTAAGCATACCACATGACACAATACATATTGCCAGCATACCTTGTCCACTCCCATTTTCTTGAAAGCTCCCTGTAAGAGCTTGAAGTTCTGGATGTACTCATGTTCCAGTTTGGCAACAAACTTCACCTTCTTCATCACAAGTGAAGCTGGAACAGTAAGGAAATGACAATCTTACCTACAGATAACCATCAAACTGGGTAGTCGGGGTAAAATGCATACAGGTAAGTTCAAGTAACCATCAAACAGGTTGAGATAAAATGGCAACAACAAATCATGTACATGTACAGTACAGGTACTGGAGTACATCAAATTGGTCCAGGTGAAATAGAAACTATTTAGGACTGGACTCATTCGTACTGTACATCAGCAGTAATGTGTTATACACATTGTGCATCCTAGGTACAAATGACACATCATTTTCCAGAAAAGTAGCAGGAAAAGTTCTTATAAACCTATCACCATTTGAAGGGATGCTTGGCAGTAAATTGGAATTGTGGGATAACCTGAATTTGAAAAACAGCTCTGACTGTAATATCCAGCACCTAGCGACTTCACTAGTAGAAAACAAACTAGATGGAATAACCAGCTGAACTGCCCATTCCAATCCTAATGGGGGGTCTAAGAAGTTCAGAGCACACATTTTTTTTTGGAAAATGGCTCCCACTAAAATGATGCTTATGGCAATTTCATTGGATACCCCTTCAATGCCTTCATTACTCCTCTACAGTAACACAAATGAGGGCAACTTGTATGACCTCAGTACTACCTAAAAATTACTGTTTACTCAATAGAGTCAATACATGTGACAACGACCACGTTGTAACTTCACACGACACACTAATGTTAGTTCTTGTCCCATGGGTACCACCCAGGAAGTAAAGTTCTACATTAAAAATTCAACAGCCTTGTCATCTCTCCTAGCTGCATGTATAACTGAGTCATAACATACAACAGTAGCCAAGGAGAAAATTTATGACCTGATCTCATAAAAATCATCTTCCTTCTCTACTCTGCCTCCTATTTGCCATTTATACTAAAAATGTTTCTGAAGATCTTTCTATAAATTATAATATCAGTCTAGCTATGTCCTTTTTCTTCCCCTTTTCTCTTGCTACCTTTCATTTGGGACTCAATGTTGTGTTTGCTTTGATTACTTTAAGGACAAAGGAATTATCCATGGAAAGATGTTATTTGACCGTAACATTTCAGATGTGTACCACTACTACTAGTACTAGGTGCTACACCATAGTTCTCATTAGGCTGTTTGAGCGTAGGGGCCCCCTACGCTGTGATTTTGACCTCCTACGCTGTGTTTCAACCAGCGTAGGGGTGTTTTTTGGGGGCAGAAGCTTCATTAATCTTAAGCTATAACAGAGGGAAAACAAAATCTGTACCCCAATAAACAATAAATAGTGTCTTAAGTGGTTAATATGAGTTACAAAATTTTGGGGGGAGAATATCAGGCCCATGTTTTGGGGACTCGGTGCGTGACTCGCGCCGCAGAAAGTTGCCCTTCTATACCTGACCCCTACGCTGTGAAAAAATCCTGGTGAGAACCCTGTACACCAGTCAGTCATAAGTAATGGTCACGAAAGGTTCTGGGAATTTGAATGAATGTATCAGGTTACCTGGAAAGAGCATGTCCATAAACTGGCAGTATGCTGCACCTGTAGTAGAGACAACAGTGTTATTACTGTGTTAACAACACTTTTAGTACATTTCTGATACTATAGCACAAAAAGAAAGAGTAAATTATCCAATGCATGACATATTCTGAAAGGTGTATCACAAAGCTTTCTCCAGCTCTAAACTTTTGTGAGCCAAAGTGTTCTAATTAAGAAATCTTGGGAGAAATTACGATCTGATAGTCCTATGAAATGCTAGTAGTAATTTTGCATTTTGAAGGACAAATTTCAATTGGCTTTATCCTGATGGTGTGGAAGGAAGTTCTGTGTTATGATTTTTTTCTGTCAAAGGGACATGGCTATAAGTTATAACAGTCAAACAACTAACTCTACTATATAATAGTAAGGACAATGGTCTATAAGTTACATTAACAGGCAAACAATCCTCTATAGTAATACTTTGAACTTTGCTTCATTATCACATGGTCATTTTCAAATGATCTACCTGTGCAAAGGTCTTCAATTTTTGTGTATTTGAGCTGCAGGCAGTCGTTAACCCGTGCAATCATCTCATGTCGGCTCAGGTTGTCTGACGTCGCGCTGGTGGCATACACATTCACGGCCGCCATCTTTGAGCTGGACACATACAAAAAGTAGAAAAGGCAATAAGTTACAAAGACTTAAGTGCTTGAAAAGACATGTCCACTGAGGAACCTCATGTCATCTCTGATGATTAAGATGTGTGATTGGAAAGAGTATACTAGTAGTAATCATATTTCTAATTCTACCACTTCACTTTTCTATAGGGAGAATGACAGACTATAATACTACAATTTTACTTCACTTGAAAATTCCCAGTGGCACTTTTCAAAAATTTTTAAATGTGTCTTTTTCTACAATAAGTGGAAAAGTCAATCATGTGCTGTATTGAGGAGAAAACATTGTATTGAACACAGAAATGCAAATTGTTAATATAGAAGCCCATCACATAGGGGAGGGGGCCAGCACTGACAGAATTTGAAGCCGAAAGTTGGAAAAACCAATGAAATCACTTCTTTTTGGATTATACACTGATACAGTTAAGAAAATCTGAAATTCAGTGATGAAGGTAAAAGGTTGTGGAACTGTAGTTAGAGAATATGAATAAATATAGTCAGTAGAAAGTTTGGATATGATTAGGCC